TTCAAAAGAAGCATAATACATGGCAATTTTGTGTTACTTATAGCAATCTCAATAAGAACACTAGCAAGAACAAATTTCCCAATCCTTTGATGCGAAACTACTCAATGAATTACAAGGTGCTCATTATTTTTCTAAACTAGATCTTCATGTGGGTTAGCATCAAATACATATGGATCCTACGAATGTCTACGAGACAACGTTTCAAACTCATTAAGAGGTTGTAAGAATTTTAGCTTATGCCCTTTGGTCTTATAAAACCCCCGACAACCTTTCAAGGTTTGATGAACTCTTTCTTTAAGATTTTTTTTTAGGAAATTCATTCTTTTGTTTTTTGATGATATTCTGGTGTACAGTAAGGATTGAGATCTTAATATCAAGCATTTAACTTAGAACTTATCTTTATTATGCAAGAACATTCTTTTTGCTAAGTCTTATAAGTGTATGTTTGCAGCAACACTAGTGGAATATTTGGGCCACTTAATTTTAAGCATAGGAGTGGAAATTGATCCTCATATGATTGTGACTGTTACTGCCTAGCTAGTTCCGACATCCATTAAAGCAATTCATGGATCTCTGGGTTTTACTGGGTACTATAAGCAATTTGTTAAAAAAATATAGGGCTATTTGCAAACCACTCACTGACCTGCTAAAGAATGATGAGCAATTAGTCTGATAATACTAAGACTGCTTTTACTACTCTTAAGGAAGCTATAACTTCTACTTTGTCACTTGCCCTTCCAAATTTTAAAGAGCAGTCTATCATAGAAACTACTGCCTCTACTAGTGATCTAGGAGTTGTTCTCACATGGCAAGCCCACCCTATTACTTATGCAAGTAAATCTCTCAATCTAAAGAAGTAATCATTATCTACTTATGAAGGTGAGCATATGGCTATAATTTTTGTAGTTCAACGATAGAGATCATACTTACTAGGATATGTGTTTATTATAAAAATAGATCATCAGCCTCCTAAACATCTTTTGGCATTAAAATCAGTATCTTCTGTGCAATTCAAATGGCTGAATAAGCAGTGGGGTCTGACCTGTGAGATTGTATACAATAAAAGGAAGGATAATAGGGCAGTATATGCTCTGTCTAGGCAATTTGAAGCTTCATCAATATCTGTTATTTTTTCTCCTATGACTGATTTACATTCTTGGATAAGCATATTTGGCAAATAGATGATCACCTCCATCAATTAATTAAAGACTTAGAGCGTGATCCAATCTCTTATCTTCAGTATACAAGGGCTCAACAGCTTTTACAGCGAGATGGCAAGTTAGTGGTTAGAATCAATCACCTTCTCAGGTTTGATTTGCAATCATTTCTCCATGACGATGCTATTGGGGACATTCAGAGGTCACTGTACTTATAAGAGAATAGCATCTCTTTTTTCTTGGAAAGAAATGCAGTGTGATGTTCATGAGTTTGTGTGCATTTGTTCTACATGCCAAAGATTTTAGTGTAAAAATGTAGCATCTCCTAATTGTAGATCATGTGTGGACAGAGCTTTTGATGGACTTTATTAGTGGTTTGCCCTCTTCATTTTTTAAAACTACTATCTTAATGGTTTTTTATAGACTTAGTAAGTCTATTCAATTTATGCCACTAAAATACCCCTTCACAGCATCTAATATAGCTAGATTTTTCTTGATAATATTGTTAAACTTCATGGACTTCCCAAATCCATTGTAATAGACCTTAACCCATCTTTTGTGGCAAGTTCTGACATGAGTTGTTTCACCTATATGGAGTTAACTTCCAACATTCTTCAGCTTATCATCTTCAGATGAATAGCCAAACTGAGGTTCTAAATCACTGCTTGGAGTGTTATTTAAGATGTATGACAGGAGACTATCCTAAATAGTGAGTTAATTGGCTTTTGCTTGCAAAGCAGTGGTATAACACCAATTATCATTCTTTTATTGGCATGACCCCCTATGAAGCTATTTATAGAGTTCCACCTCCTATACATATGCCTTACTTACTAGGAGATTCCATAAATGATTTAGTTGATCACATTTGTATAGATCAAGAAGTCACTATTTAAGGGTTGAAAAATCATCTCCTTAAGGCATAACATTGAATAGTATTAGACAAAGAATAATATGGAATATATTTCTTGTATATTCATGATCAGAATGAGGGAATTTATACACAAGAGAGGAGCCGGTCATTAATGGCTCATTATTAGGAGATAATATCCTATCCTATCATATCTGATTTGATCCTATATGATCCTATACTAATTACAATATATAATTACATATCTTTAAACTCCCCCTTAAGTTGGAGCATAGACGTCAATCATGCCCAACTTGTTACAAAGATAGTCAACCCGAACCCCATTCAAAGCTTTAGTGAGGAGATCACCCAATTGGTCACTGGATTTTGTAACATCCTGAGTTTTATCGGGTTTTAATGGCCTCTTTTGGGTTGATTTTGAGGATAGATTAGTGATTTAACCTTGATCTTGGTGTTTGGGTTGGATTTGAGGTTTGTTGGAGGAATAGGTGAACGTACCCCTTTCAGGGTATGTTCGCCGCGGCGAAGTTTACTTCGCCGCGGCGAACCGGGGGTTTCAGAGGGGAGTGTCTTCTCGGGAAGGTTTGGCCGCAGCGAAGTCTTGGGGACGCCGCGGCGAAGTTGTTCTGGTGAGCGAGGCTTCCCTCTCGGGAAGGTTTCGCCGCGGCGAAGGTAGGGTATGCCGCGGCGAAGGTTGTCTGGGCAAGCGAGAGTTTCCTCTCGGGAAGCTTTCGCCGCGGCGAAGATTGAAGTTCGCCGCGGCGAAGTCGGTTTTTCAGGCGAGTAATCCCTCTCGGGATTAGTTCGCCGCGGCGAAGATGGAGTTCGCCGCGGCGAAAGGTCGCGATTCTATATAATCGCTGGAGGGTTCAGATGTGCGAAAATAAGAAAATCTGAGGAGGAGAGAAGAGCTCTGCTAGGGTTTCGAACTTTTGGCTTGGGGAAGACATTTCTAAGGATCCATTACCTCGAGTAAGTGATTTTAACCTCTAATCTTCTTTCTTTCTTGATTTTCCATGGAATTTATGAGGATTTTTGGTGGAACCCTAGATTTTCTAAGTTGTGATTGAACTGAGGTTTTTGACCGATTGTTTTGAGTTTAATTGATTGCATTGGGTTAGTTTTTAAGTATTTAATCGGTGTAGTTTCCTTGGATTTAAAGAATCTTGAATTTTGGAGTTAGGGTTTATGGAAGTGGATGGTTTGGGATTGAGGATGACAATGTGGAGGTTGATTTTGAGTTTTGTGAATTGGGTTATGTTAAGGAGGGTTAAATTGGATGTTTAATCGGTTTAGATTTGTTGTTGGAACCTTAATTGTTCAAATGGGTTGTTGGAGGTTGAATTCCTATAGTGGGCCCTTGAGGTTTGAACTATAATTGATGCTTGGAAGGAGACTTGATGTTTTAATAGACTTTGAGGACTTTGGATTGTTGTTTTGATAGTTATACCCTTTGAGTTGGGTAGAGTTTTGATGGGAGATAGGAATTTTGTGTCCCCAAGTGTTGTTTTGGCCACATTATTAGTTTGAAAGCTAATATATGTTGGTTGTATGTTTGTGTGCTTGTGTAGACCGGTTGTGAGTCTTGGTGGTGCACGGGGCCACATCGTTGGTTTGTTGTTCCTTGCTCAGGCGAGAGGTAACCACTTTCCAATCCTTAGTACTTGCTTCTGTGGTATTGTGAGTAGATTTGTGTTTTGTGCTCCAATTAGTAATTGTGTTCGAACTATATGTTGTATATAAAAATGGAAAACCGTCTTGTGGGGTTTGGACTTATGATGAATGAAATTGTGGAATTGTGAAAGATATGCCACTGAATGAGATTAATTGTGAAGTGATTATTACTCTTGATTATGATTTGAGCATGATGCATTAATTGGAAAATTTGGTGAGAGTTGTCTGTTACTACCACGTGGTAAGGCCTCCATTAATGCAATGGTGGCTCTTTACGTCCCCCATAGTGAGGGATAGGCCTTCGGGCTCATTACGTCCCCCAGAGTGAGGGATAGGCCTTTATGGCTCCTTACGTCCCCCATAGTGAGGGATAGGCCAGCTTCGGCTCCTGAAAATCCCCCAAAGTGAGGGATTTGGTTGATGGGATTGCATCATTGCACTTGCATAATTGTTGTGGCTATCATTATGTATTATTTTGTGAACTGCCCCACTTGACACCTCACGAGCACCTATTTAGTAGTACCTAGTATTGGAAAGGTTGGTTACTGGGACTTTGTCTCACCCCGTGGTTTACAATGTTTTCAGGAGAAGGTTTCTAGGCGAGCACCTTCGGGAAGAGACGCAGAGGCTTGAGCTGGGTTAGCTTTAGGCCTCTAGATTTTTATGCATGGATAGTTGTATATTGCCATGCATGGATAGTTGTATATTGCCACAGCTAGGGTTTTCTTGAAATATTTTGATTTCCCGGCCTTATTGTAAACTGGAGAATATATTACCTACTCGTTTTGTTGGCCGGAGGCCATTCCTATTACTTTATGAAACTTTGTTATTCGTGCTTGAGATCAATTGGAAAGGGGCTGATTTTGATGTATGTCGTTACCCGGGCCGGAGGCCCGGAGGCCCAGTGATAGTGATTGAATGATGATAGTTGCATGCAACTGCGTTTGAGAGGGAACCAAGTTTTAAATGTAAATTTTCTAAAATTACGCAACCTCTTTCTACTATGGTAGTTGATGTACATTTTTCCTTTTTCTACCATAGTAGTGGTCTTATGAAAAGTATTAATGTTTAAGGAAGAGGGTTTTTACAGATTTCACGTGTCCTGTTGAGATGAAGTTTTCCTTGATCTTATCCCGAACAAAATGACAATCAATCTCAATGTGTTTTGTGCGTTCATGAAACATTGAATTAAAAGCTATGTGTAAGGCTGCTTTATTGTCGCACCACAATTTTGCTGGTAACGAGGCTTTAAGACCAACATCCTTCAGTAATTGATGTATCCAGACTATCTTGCACACAAATTATGCCATAGCTCTATATTTTGCCTCTGCACTTGATCGTGACACCACATTCTGCTTCTTGCTCCTCCAGGACACCAAATTTCCTCCCACAAAGACGCAATATCCTGTAGTAGACCTTCTTGTGGCCTTTGAACCACCATGATTAGCATCACAAAAGCACTCAATATCTGTATGACCATGATTTTTGTATAATATCCCACAACCTAGAGACCCCTTCAAGTAATAAAGCACATGCTCTAAAGCTTCCCACTATCTGATAGTAGGCGAGACCATAAACTGGCTAAGTATACTGACTGGATAGGTGATATCAGGACGGGTCACAGTAAGATAATTCAGTTTTCCAATCAATCTTCGATACCTCTCCGGGTTCTCAAATGGCTTGCTCTTAGCAGCATCAACGGGATTCTCAGATGGTATGCTTCCATCGGCATCAAGGAGTAGATTATAAATCATAGGAAAACTGTTTGGCGCAACCCCTAACTTTCCAGTTTCCTTCAACAGATCAAGAACATACTTCCTTTGAGTCAATAAGATTCCTTTCTTACTTCTCAAGACCTCAATTCTGAGAAAGTACTTTAATGGGCCCAAATCTTTTGTTTGAAAGTGAGAATTAAGAAAGGACTTAAGTGAAGAGATCCCCGACATATTACTCCCTGTAATCACAATATCATCTACATACACGACCAATAAAATCATGCCAGTACCTGTGCTCTGGTAGAACACAGAGTGATCACACTTACTTTGACACATGCCAAATTTTTACACAACAGTACTGAACCTGTCAAACCATGCACGGGGACTCTACTTTAGGCCATATAAGGATCTCTTAAGGCGACATACTTTTCCACGCTCCCCCTGAGCAACAAAGCCTGGTGGTTGCTCCATATAGACTTCTTCAAGAAGATCACCATGTAAAAAAGCATTCTTTTTATCCAATTGATGGAGATCCCAGCCATAGGTTGCCACCATAGAGATGAAAAGATGAACGGAGGAAAGTTTCACAATAGGGGAGAAAGTTTCAGAGTAATCAACACCATAGGTCTGAGCATAGCCTTTAGCAACCAAGCGAGCTTTAAGGCGGTCAAGGGTACCATCAGCTCAGGTTTTAGGGGTTAAGACGCACTTACAGCCAATAGCTTTCGTTCCTACCGGTAGATCCACTAAGGTCCAAGTGCCAGCCCGGTCAAGGGCCGCCATCTCCTCTTCCATAGCAGCACGCCAACCCGGGTGGGTTAAAGCTTCATGAAGGGTCTTAGGTAAGGAAATAAGATCTAAAGAAGAGACAAAGGCACGAGAGGCAGGGGAAAGGTGGTTATAAGAAACAAATGAGGAAATAGGATGGGTGCAACTGCGTTTGCCTTTGCGAAGAGCAATGGGCAAGTCAAGTGAAGGATCTGGATCAGGAACAGGAGGTGTCTCGGAGTTGGAGAGAGGTGGAAGCTCAGGATGAGAGATGCTCGACACAGGATCTGAAGACAAAGCAGACACTGGAGGGCCGAAATCTGGGATGGTGATATTGGTCTCCTTGGAACGTCTTGTGTAGACACGAGACAAGGGTGGTGGCACAGGAGCCGAGCCGAAGCCGAAGCGGGAGGGTACACCAGCATGAAGAGAGAGGCAAGTGGGATGGAGTATAGAATCGATTCCTGAAAGGTGGAGATAACGATTAAGAGAGGAGAGAAACATCGAGCCCTTTTGAACTCGAGAGTAGCCAAGGGACACACTTCTTCGGATTTGAAACAAAAGTGCTTTTGAAGGGAAAAGAATAGTATAGGGAATGTTACGTGAACCACCTAACGAGGAAGCAAGTAGTAAGTGGCGATTTTTTAAGTGGCGTTCTGCAACACCATTTTGAGCTGGTGTATCAACACAAGAAGATTGATGAAGGACATCGTTTTGAAGCATATAGGATTGAAATGTGCTAGAAAAATATTCTTTAGCATTATCACTATGTAAAGTGCGAATGGAAGTATGAAATTGAGTTTTAATTTCCGCAAAAAAGCCACAAAAATGAGAGAATTTAGAATGACTTTCATTAAATATAACCAAGTTGTACGGGAATAGTCATCAACAAATGTAACAAAATATTTAAAACCCACTGTTAACTTGACAAGACACGGACCCCAAATATCAGAATGAACTAGCTCAAAAGGGGATGAAGCTTGTTTATTGACTCCAGAAGCTAAAGGAAGATGATGATGTTTGGAAAACTGACACGACTCACAATCTAAAGATGACAAGTGTTGAAACTGAGGATAAACCCTTTTTAAAGAAGACAAAGACAAATGATCCAAACGACAATGTGCTTCAAAAGGAGTGAGACCACCAGCACAAGCCACAGCACGAGACCCTTACTCGTCAAGGAAATAATGTCCACCAGATTCATAGCCCCTACCAATAATCTTCTTCGCCAAAAGATCCTGTATCAAGCAATGATCAGGAAAGAGTGAGACCCAACAGTTTAATTGACGAGTAAGTTTACTAGGGGAAAGCAGATTAAATGCAAGATCAAGTACATCTAGCACAAATGACAAATGAATGGAGGGGGTAGGTTTAATAGTGCCTGATTCGAGGACCCGGGAATGAGAGCCATTGCAATAGTGATAGTTGAAGGATTGGCGTAAGAATTATAAGTGGAGAAGAGATGGCGGTTACTTGTCATGTGGTCAGTAGCACCAGAATCTATGATCCATTTGGAGGAAGAAGAGACAAGAGCAGTAGCCTGATTACTTGTAGCAGTAGGAGCACTCACGGGTGGTGTGAGAGATTTTAATTGAGCATATTCAGCAGTAAAGATTGTGACCTTATCATCAGCTAGCGTTGCCACATGGGCAGTAGAGTTATTATTACGTTGTTGTTTGTTTTGTAGCTTACGACAAGTACGCTTCATATGGCCCGGCTCCTTACAGTAGTAACATACCACCCTACTTGAATCTGGAGTAGTTCCTCCTTGCTTGGAGCCACCACGGTTAGTCGTCCCATGACTATCATTTAGGCCTCGATTGATTAGGGCACTGACAAGAGCATTAGTAACTGGTAATGAAAGATTCTTAGTCCTCATCACACGAGAGAACACCTCCTGAAGAGTAGGAATCTCAGAACCAGATAGAATTTGAGAGCGAATAGTTTCATATTCAGGCAGAAGACCAGTGAGAAAACTCATAATGGCCATGTGCTCTCGTTGGGCCTGTTGGACCTTCAGATCAGTAGTAAGAGGCATAAGAACATTCAATTCTTCATACATTTGTTTAAAATCCATGAAGTAGGTCTTGAGAGGGCGGTCCTACTTCTCTGCGCAATAAAATGCTTTGCAAACCTCATAAACACAAGAAATATTACCCTTGCCTGAGTATAAAAATTGTAAATAATTCATCAGTTCCTTAACAAATTCACAGTGAGAAATAGAAGGAATAATCTCACTGTCAATAGAGTTGCGAATCTGTAAGAAGAGCTAGGCATCGTCCCTTAACCACGATTGATAGGTGTCTGTGGTCGGAAGGTCTTCAGTTAAATGATTCTCCTTCTTAATGCTTTGTAAGTAGATACGAATAATTTTACTCCAATCTAGATAATTTGTCCAGTTTAATTTGTGCTCAGTAATCTTAACGACTATCGGAACTACTTCAGAGGTAACTGTAGACTTAGTATCACCCATGAGAGATAAATAGAAAAGAGATAATAATTCTAGCAGTGATAAGAAAGAATAAGTAGCCATAAATGATCACTCCAGGGACCAAACAACACCTCCTACAATCTATAGAAGGCAGGAACAGCAACACCAATCTGAAACGTTACTGTTCACAAGGCACAGTAACCAAATGGCTCTGAATCAACACAAGGGGGAAGACCCAGACCTGAAAAGCACCAGGGATTCACCGGAAAAGAGAAGACGAAGCCGGTGAACTACTCGACGGCAAAAAAAGCGGCAGCGCTTGAACAGTACCGCCGCTGGTGACGCACGTGAGGGTCACGCGCTGCTTGGACAGTGATGAGACTTCAGGGATCGGCCGGTCGGTGCCGTACGATCCTCCTTGGCCGACGCGTGCTCCCAGAAAACGTCCAACACAAAAGCCCTAATGTTGAACACGATGGCTAATGGCAGAATCACTGTACGGCGCAGGCAAATTGTAACCAGACAGAAAACCTAACCCTAAATGGCTTGCTCTGATACCTTATTAGACAAAGAATAATATGGAATATATTTCTTGTATATTCATGATCAGAATGAGGGAATTTATACACAAGAGAGGAGCCTTGGTCATTAATGGCTCATTATTAGGAGATAATATCCTATCTTATCATATCTGATTTGATCCTATATGATCCTATACTAATTACAATATATATTCACATATCTTTACAAATAGTTTAGCAGGCTAATAAACATAGGACTGAGAGAGAATTCTCTATAGGTGATACAGTTTATTTGAAGCTTTACCTTTTTCACAAAAATATGCTTAATAACTCTACCTTGCACAAGCTGACAATAAGATATTTTGGTTGCTTTAAGGTATTAAAGTGTGTAGAGATGGTTGGTTATGATTTGAAGCTTCCCTCTGACACTACGCTGCATCCTATTTTTCATGTCTCCTTATTAAAGAAATGTGTTAGTGAAGGCACTCCTATTGCTACTACTTCGCCTATGACTGATGCTGAAGGTTAATTTTGTCTTGAGCTAGATGTTATACTTTGTCGAAAGTTTGTGCCATGTGGTCATTTATCTGTCACTTGGATATTAGTTCTATGAAAGAATAGTAAACTTGAAGATGCTACTTGGGAGGATTTCTTCATTTAGAAACGATGCCCCCATTTTGATGTCATTGCACATCCATTTCATTCCATCCTTATCAACAATTTAAGGGAGGTAGCTGATACATATTATGTTTGGAATATTAATCATAAGATGTGCTAGTATTCATTATAGCTATAAAATAGCATATTAGTTATTAGAAGGGTTTAGATTAAAAAAAAAAACCCTAAGATGTAACTGCCAGAGTTAGTTCAGAAATAATGCATGAAACATTCTTCTATTTATCCTTTTTAGTATGCGTCTAGAAGCGTTATCGTTCAAGAAGATGATGAAATAAGCTTGTGATTGAAAATCTAAAATTTGATTCTTGGGTTACTATTCATTAATAAATTTCAGATTTTTTATCCCGTTTTAAAAATTTATAACTAATTATAGAAAAATCATATTAAGGTGTTTCAAGTCCCCATTTAAACCTCTTTTAATTATCTATATGGAAAAAAATACTCATTAGTTCATTTTCTTACTTATTCATTCTAAATATTACACATAAAATTATACTATTTATATCGTCAAACAATACATTTTCATATTCCCTACCCTAACTTTGAGCAATCATATTTCTTAGCCCACACATCCATTTTAGATGATCTACCAGCTATTTTAAAACTTAGGATCTGTACTAATGTCTCGCCAAATTTATGGGCATATTTATTTATTTACTTTACTTTTTCTTTGTCTCAAATTCATTGGTTATTATGGAAAAGTTTATCCCCTTATTACAATTAGCATGCTTCAATTAAACTCAATTATGCATGCAACCATTCTCACATTTCATATATCATTCTCACACACCTTCGCACTCAATTTTACATGTCATTCTCTTCATTCATCATTACATAACATCAATGTACATAACTTAACATAACACATTTCTCAAGTTTTTTTCTTCTTTCTTTATTCCTCACCATGCATTCCTCTTCCCTTACACATCATAACTATTATAGTTGGATAAGGAAGGGTGAGATTCAAAAGAATCTTAGTAGTAAATAATAATTGTTCAAACATACATGGCAAGCTTGGTATTCATAAATTGCTTGCAACTTAGCATTTTTATAACATACTAACATGTTTGGAAATCATCATACATTTGTCATAAAACATAGGCCTATCGCATACTTTAAGCTTAAATCACATAAACATACAAACATGTCATACGTGCAAGCAAATACCAAAGACATAAGAGTAGGGTAGAGTTTGTTATCTTTAGCCTTTTACATTCAATCTTTCCTTTTGGTCTCTTTGCTTCTAACCATCAAAGTTGCTTGATCAACCTTTCTCATTCATCTTTCTTGATGTCACATGGCTCTAATCACATTAACACATCATTACCATTCATTTAACAGAGCCATGGAATCAATGACATTTATACTTTTCTCTTTAACATACTTTAACCTTAACTTTTGAATTTTAATTCTAGTCTTTCTAAAAGTAATTTCACATGCTATTCCTCCATAATTTTGCATGTAAAATACATGCAAAATTATAATGCTTCCAAATCAATTAAAATCCAACGCCTTTCCCCTTAAACAAGCTTGGCTGAAACTATAGGGTTTAGGGTTCAAAATTTCATTTTCAATTATAATGCTTCCAAATTTGCTTCCTCATCTTTACCTTATGCAATTTTTCATTTTAAACACATTAGAACTATCAAAATCATCAAAATCCAACCCTAACTTACACCCTAGGTTTGGCCAAAATTATCACAAAGTTAAAAGAAGGTTGGATTAATTTTAATTTCATCACAAATCCACTTGATTCTTATTCCTTTCTAGCCTTTAAACATGATTCCATCATCAATCAATTTTGTTTATAACTTAAACATATTTGGACAGTACCTTCCCTTAAGGTTTCATGCTTTCAAATCTCATCAAAAATCATAGCCAAGCTTTGTAAGACATATAACATCATAAACTAAATTAAAAACCATGATCTCATCCTGTTTTGAGGCTTGGTATGGAACTTGAACCTCTTCCTCTTCTCCTTCTTGGCGTTAAAATTTTATGCTCCCCCCTTAAGACCTCTTTTGGCAAAAAATCTCACTAAATGAAAGGGAAGAGGGGTATTTATAATGGTCTCTATTTATCATCTTATCTTAGGGTTAATTCAAGTTACCATTCACCCATTTATCTTACCATTTGTCTTTTGATTAAGCTATGCATTCCATGATGTCACCAATGGTTTATCAAGGTTGCCATGTGTCCATGATCTTGCATTATGCCTCAGGATCTTAGCATGTATTCAAGATATATTTTTCATGTGCCTTATAATCTATTATTTTAATCTTTTTTCAAATTTTGCCCTTGACAAAATATATAATTTCAACCTTATCCTCTTCATCAAATTATCATCAACATAGGGAGAAAAATAAAGGAAAGTTTGTGCATAATTATACCCTTGGCTATTCCTCCACCAATTTCACAATTTTACACCATGTTGAGTACTTTTTCGAGTCTTAACTTATCTGATATAACTAGTACATGCCTTGACACCATTTTCTCATCATAAATAACTCCATATAATATAATAATGCCAAAAATTAGGCAAGATGAATATTTAGGGTTTCTATCCCTTAAAGAAAACACCAAATTTTTTATTCTATTATAACTTTGACCAAATACTTTCTGATATTTCCTGCTCTAAAAATTTATTCCTCTGCTTCATTATCTCCCTTTCATTGAGAAGAATTTCTCTAATTTTTCTTAGTTCAAAACCCAACTTGTAAATACCTCTTTTACAGATTTTTCCCCATACCCCTTTTGTAAAACACAGCTTTAAATTTCTTTAAAGCAAATCTCTAAACTTTCAAGGGTCGGTTGATCCTAGGAATGTGAATAATAAACTAGACAGAAGGTTAAGTGGTAAAGTAGATTTAAAGGTGAAACAACATTTGAGTTGAGGTCTAATTATTGTTCGGACTAATATTTTTGAAATTATCAGTTCAGGAAGGACAAAATAAAAAAATTAGAGAAAAATTCCAAAAAAAAACTCTCAAAAAATAGGAAAAAAGTAAATTAGAAGTTTTGGAACCCTATTTGAGGCCCTAGAGGTAGAAATGGCATAAAATAAATTATTACAGAATTTTCTATAAACAGAAGTTTTTAGGAAAAAACAGTGAAAATTTAGCCCAAAATAAGTATTTTAAATAAAAAAAATATGAAAAAATTATTTAATGATTTATTTGAGTTTATAAAATTATTTCCAGACCCTAGTAACAAAAAGATTAATTTTAGAATATTTATTACCGAAATCCTATCAGTAATGCCTAATTTTGAAGAAAATTCAAAATAAATAGTTAGAGATGGAGATAAATTATCAAAAAATTTAGGGGACCTTCCTATATCAAAATGTGATTTTTTTTTTATGGGAAGAAATGAGTTTTTGAAGGTCCAAAAATATTTTTGAAAATTAGAAAGAAATTTTAGCTGATACAACGAAATCGGGTGGAAAAATATTAAGAAATGAATGATGATACTTCCTCCTTCTTTCTCCAGCCCATTGGACTTGATTTTGGGCCAGTTTTGTTGGGGCCTTTTGTGCTGTCTTATTAACTATGCAAATGGTGGTGTTAAGGAAATGGAAACCTAATCAAATTAGGGAATAAATCAGCATTAATTCTTATAATAGAGTTAGCGAACAAGAAAGCTAACTAAATAGGAAATGAATACATTCCTATATAATGATCACCCTAACCTTGAAAATAAGGAGTGCCTCCCTTCCTTGCTTCTAGCCTCATCTGCTGAGTTTAAACACTAGTAGGTTAAACCCTGAGTGAGCTTCTTGCATGTAGTTTGTGTTTTCATGTATATGATACCTGTACTTGCATCCTTGCCTTTTTTGTTTTGTTTTTATTTGCATCCAAATTATTAATGATCTTGTAATTATGAATTAACGCCCTCCAACGGTTGCTTCCTTACAAACTATAATGAATTAATCAATCTCCACGGGTGTTCATATGATGAGTTAATATAATTTTCATCTAATAGTTCTTGGCACCAAGCTTTTTCACATGATAGGAAGTCACAAGGTTTTTTTTTTTTTTTTTGGGCTAGGTATACGTATCCTCCCATTAAAGGCAATCAAGTTCTAAGTACTATTTGAGACTAAATGTTGACACCTCTCTCAACCGGAATTCGAACTTTAGTTTGCCACGTTATGAGAAACTAACTCATTTTGCTAGACACTACTATCATACTCGTTTTCCAAACTGTTTAGCTAGCCCACTTGTACTTTGGAAAAAAAGAAAGAGTCTATTTTCTGAGTTCCTGTCATGTCATGGTGTGTTTCGATGATGCATTGGATGTGATAAAGTTAATGAACTTACAATCGCAAAATATAAACTTGTAGACACGTTCAATATCTTTTGTTACATATTAGTAGCCGGTTTTGATGACGTCTATGTAGTTTCTGTCATGAAGAACAATTAGTCAATTCTTTTTCCTTATTATACTCGACAAGATGTTATTGCAATGTTTTTCATCCACTCGATGCAAACAAATAATTAAATTCACTATTCCGCCCTCTCGTCTGTTAGAATTCGTCCCCCTACTTTGTTGAGCCAAAGCATTAATTCTGGAAGAAATATCAGCAGGACTAGTGACTATATATTAATAAAAAATGAATGACCTACAATATTAGAACATTTTCCAAATGTGGAACCCCTGCTAAGCATCGACACAAACGCAATAGAAGGGATAAAAACGTGCTGATACAAAGAAAAGGGTTGGTTGGGCGGTGGGGGGAGGAATGCTCGATTCACAAAAATGGTTTTATTGATTCAGCTTCAGCCAATAATGTTCCTTTTACCTGGAACTCATAATAATAGCACTTAGAATACAAACCATTTTCCAATTTCATGTCATTTTCCTCATTCACATGCTTGTCATTCTCCAAATTTCATTTAGTTATGTACACAAAAACAAGAGGCTTTCAAGACCATGAAGCCATTCTAGCTTCTTAAATGGTTTCAAATAAAACCCGGTGCTCTAGTAGTTCAGACAAAACACCCCCCATCTTATCAACAGAAACAGGTTTCAATATGAGGCCATCCATTCCAACCCTCAAACAGTTTTCTTTTGTGACTTTGTTAGTGTCACCAGTAAGTGCAACAATAAGAGGCCTATCTTGACGTGTGGTAAACTTCTCATGGATACGTGCCGCAAGATCATAATCATCTATACCTGAACATACATCCATGAAGATCACCTTGTGCTCATGAGAAAGAACACGCAAACATTCTTCACTCGAGCTTGCTGTTGTAACATCACACCCTAAATGTACAAGTAGTCCCTTTGTTACTGTCCTGCTAACCCTGCACAAGTTTCAATAACCAATTATAAAGCATACACTATATAGGAGATAAAATTCAGTCCCTAGATGTACCTTCAATGACAGACACTCAGTCACATTTACTGCTGAGAAGAACATTAATAGCTTGATTTTCTTTTGTTTACAACATACTACAGCTCTTTATTTTAGAAGATAACAATTATGACAGCCTGATTTAAGAGATTAATCCTGAAACATGACAAGCTATAGCTAAAATGCCCAGATCAATGAAGACTTTTAGACCCCATGTTTTGGCATTGCTGAATTATGTAAGTATTGCTGCGTATTTCCATCACATCTTTCGGTAATGAACAATTGTTTCAGCTCTAAATATGCAATTAATGCAAGTATTGGGAAGAAGAGTTTGGTTCACCGGCAAATCATCATGTCTTATACATTATTGACTACTGTCCGGATGCATGATTTGACCTTTAGGGAGCTTAGAATCTAAATAGACTTGGAAATAAGTTTTCCCAGCGGGACTTGTAAGTAGAATTTATATGAACATATACCACAGTAATCAAAAGCCCCCACACTCTCACATTCCATGTGAGAGAAGGACGGATGTGATCAAGAAGGATGCAAAGGGACTCTAACAAAACATCCCTATCCCTGAGAAGCCTTCAAAGTAAAAGTTTCAAGTGCACTTAGTACCATAAATAGACCAAACTGCAAAATAAAAGACTATGCGAAGAAGGAAGGAGTAGAGATCTGGAAAAGCCTCAACAAAGGGATACTCCCTACCCAAAAGCTCTCCAAAAATTTGATATAAAGAACCTTGGCGAAAGGTTTTTCATCAATTATGACGTGAAGTTTTGCTATTTATCATGCAAGTCGATCTTCAATGTTGGACCTAAGAAGAAGGTTTACATGCTCAGTGATATTTAGATAATCCATGCATAAAAAGCTAAATGGTTCAAAGACCCAATAAAAGTAAAGATCAATTATTCTTGTCATTCAAAACTATAGTCGAACAGCTAAATTATGTCAATCTGCCATCATTTATCTCAACAGCAGAGTGACCATGCAACTTAACAGCTGTGAGTGAAGAAACAAAACCAAAGGTCTCGATTGCCTGTGATCATCAGTCAGATATGGAAATTAATATTTACAATCTCACCCTCTCTAATGTTTAAAGCAGACTAGAATCACTTCATCACTGAGATCAACAGGCAACGACCCCACTTCACATTAAGACTTAACTTTTCCACAGCATCTGTAAGCGGAGCTAAAACTATGATGGACAAATGTGATTGAGCCTAACTTAATGCAGCAAGCTATTTCAGCCACGTCTTTAACTATCAATACTAAAATGTCAGGCATGTGTCAGAATCTATCCACCAAAAATAATAACTACTCACATAAGAAACAACTAGATAAACAGGATCCTCACACGTGAAGCTGGCTCCCACAAAAAGCCCACTAAAAATAAAGCCATTAAATCGTTAAAAACATCTTTGATACTAGAATATTCCCCTGCAAAATCATACTCCTCTTTCAAAGTACTCAGCATCAGGTCAGGTTGATCTTGTATTGGACTAACACAACAAAATCAATAACCACTGTTCCCTTCAGAAAGAAGCTAGGCTAGCAAATTGCAATTATGAGACATGAGAGAGAGACATTCCAGCCCATTTTGAATATACATTAGCCTGGACCAGAATGGGGAATGCTCAAACATCCATCAGCAAAGCTAACAGGCTATGCAACCTATAGCCCGTCTGTATGTGTCCAAACAAAACAACAACAAATATAGAAGTCTTACCCACCACTAAGCAAGGTCGGCTAGAAAGTGTCCAAACAATAGTACTAGAAAAATCAAGTAGCATAAATAACAACTCCATAGAACCTAAATCATCAAAAATTAACACAAAGACCACTAAAGAATCTACAGATCAGCAAAAACAAGGAATTGAATAGACTGGATAGTGGAAATGCATAGAAGACAAGCATGAACAAACAACTTAATCTGTTGTATGATCCTACATTTACAACCATGCATGAACTTATCAAGTCATTAGGCCAAAGTACACAAATACCTGGGAGGTCCTATAAAAAGTTCTGTTTGTGTTGAAATAATAAATTACTTATGTGATAAACAAATTCCAAGACCAAAGTATAAAAATTAGCTGTGTGACATACCCATTATCATCCAAGACAAGAACCTTGAGCCCCGCAAAGTTCGTAGGCCCATGATTTCCCAGAACCCTATGCGCAAAGGGGGCTTTAGATTCATTCGATCGATCAGGGATTCCAAGTTTTACAATAAAGGTAGCCGTACACCCCTTACCAATGCCATCACTATCAATCCAAATTTGCCCTTCCATAAGATTTACAAACCTAGTCACAAATCGGGAAAAAACACATAAGCAACATTGAACGCTTTGTCCAGCATGGACCTTACACCAGTTGTATAAGTCAGATTTCAATTAATATAAAACAATATATTATGCTTTGAATCTCTTTGAAATAACAGACAAGATAAGTACCTCTTACAAATTGCGAGGCCAAGTCCATTTCCACCAGAATTTCTTGCTGTTGAAGATTGGGTTTGTGCAAACTTGGTAAATAATGTAGGTATATCTTGTGGATTAATTCCTGATCCTGAATCTTTTACCTGCAATGAGAAATTACCAACAAACTTCATTATATAAGTCAGCAATTAAAAATAAAATTTCCATTTCAAACTTGAGCTTGAAGGGACAAACCTGTGCTCGTAAATAAAATTGATTATCATTAAGCATTGGGATAAAGTCTGGAAATCTAGCATCCCTAAAGGATTCAACTTTTGCAACAGAAGCAGTGATGCAGACACCACCCTCTTTTGAGAACTTAACAGCATTACCAACAACATTAAGAATAGTTTGCATGAGGCGTTTTTCATCACCAACAGCATACACTGGCAAGTCTGGAGCTAAATGTAAAGTGAGTGACAACTTTTTGACGGATGCAACAGGTTTGATCAAGTTTAGGACCTGCAAAAAGAGAAGAAAAATTTAGCATATCAAGTTAGTAATGATATTCCAGACCTCTAAGATACAAATCAATCTTACACGGAAAGTATTTCCCTTTCTTTTATGTACTGTTCATTATTTCCCATTAGCATCACTAGCAGCACCTTTTAGTAGCATTATTTTATCCAGCATACACAGAAATTTCCCATCAACAAAGTTTTGTTTCTAGTACACTGTCCTTTTCATTCATACCACACACGACAAAGTTTAGATGGCTGGGATCAACTATACAAGATGATGGTGAAATTGATGGGGATGTTACACATACAATATAAGCTGGACAACTCAAATGGAGAAAGGCTATAGAAATTATTTATGATCACAAAGTACCTAATAAGCTTAAAAGGAAGTTTTATCAAACTGTTATAAGACCATCGATGCTTTATGGTAGTAAATGTAGGGCTTAAATGAACAACAAGAATATTAAGATTGGGTAGCTAAGATGAAGCTGAAATGAATGTATGGGCATACAAGAAAACACAAGATTCATGGTGAACATAGATGAGGAATACTTGATGTGGCATCCATTAAAGAGAAAAAGATAGAAAATCATTTAAGATAATTTGGACATACACAAAGGTCTTTGGAGGCACCGAGCAAACAATTTTGAGTTGTGTGAATGGGTAAAGAAAGACCAAAGAGAACACTCAATGAAACTATTGTGTGAGGTGTTTAGGTTAATAATTTATCCAAAAATTTGGCCATTACCAAAGTACAATGGCAATCCATGCAACCAAACCCACTCGGGGATAAAACTTATTGTTGTCCTTTTCATTCCTTTCCATTATGCATACCAAACAGTCCCTTAATATTTAGGGCATAGAATTTACCTCCCTAAACACAAAATGAAGGTTAAATGTTGCTGCATCAAGTTGAAGACTGCCATCTTCAAGACGTGAAAGATCTAGGACGTCATTGATGAGAGTAGCCAATAGATTACTACTTTTCAGTATGGTCTCAACCATCAAACGCTGCTCAGGTGTCAGCTCTGTTTCTTGTAACAATGAGGAAAGTGCAATAATTGCATGCATAGGAGTCCTCATCTCGTGATTCATTACAGCCAAAAAATCATTGCGAGCACGAATTGCAGTCTCTGCTTCTCTTCTTGCGAGATCAAGTGCAACATTTTGCTCCATGAGCTGATCCCTTGCCCTCATTGACTCTTCTAAAATTGCGGCATGTGAAAGAGCAACAGCTACCTGGCATAGGAGGTACGATTATAGTAACTCATCTACAGGAATGCTGAGATAAAAAGACAAGTGGGACATAAAAAAGGATATTGACAGCTGATTTCCAAATCATATTGTTGATGCAGAATATGTTCAAAGTACATCCAAGTAAACTTTTGAATTAAAGGATAATATATTTAGTTAAGTTATAGCAAGCATGCCCAATAGTCTAATTTGTGGCTATATGCCTAACTTCTGGGAAATTAGTTATATTCACAAGCTGCTAATTTGTGGTTGTAGGTACATCTAATTTGTCACAAATATGTTCAAGTGCACTTGGTTGTTTAAAAAAAATGTTAAACTATTTATCAAGTTACAGAAATATGACACATACGACATTAGATGACTTAAGTAACTGGCCAAAGTGTTTTAGCTAGTCAAATCAAATCAGAGTGCATATGATAATGAAGTACAAATGTTACATTGTCAAACTTTTACATATACTTGAACTTCAACCAAAAAAAAAAAATCGTTGACAGACATGTTCATGTAAAGAAATACACAGATGAAAGACGTAGCAAAAAATGTGTTAAAAAAGAAAGTCATTAAAATAAAACTTACCTGATCAGCAACAACCTCAACCAGCTCTAACTCATAAAGATGCCACTGTCTGGCGCTATCTGATGGAAGCATCAAGACCATCAAAGCATAGCTTGATGAAACTGCTGGCCAATCATAAATTTGGAAATTAGAAAGATGTAGAAGGGGCACCCGAACAGCAACAACTTCCCCAGGCATGTACTTTCCTGCATGAGGCCGTAATCTGGCTACTGGGCAGTTTGGTGAAATTTTGACAGCCTGGTTGGTGCTAAATACTTGATTGATCACAGGAAGATGGATGGGTACTGTATATCCAACTGGATTTTGCTGTCTCAATGTGTAGGAAAGTTGGAGCTCCAACCCAGAACGTGTTGGCATCCATAATGCACACTCTTCCAGTGCCAATGTTCTACCTAGTTCAACAAGAGTTGTTTTAAGTATGGTGTGCCGATCCAGAGTGCTTCTAATCTCATGAGTCAGCATCCTAACATGCCGACCAGTTTCTTCCTGTGTGCGAATCAAGCCCATTTCCCTATCAAGCTCTGCAGCCTTATTCTTCAAAAATAGCTCTCTGGTCTTAACACTTAATAAATCAGGAATGATGTGTACAAGCAAAAGTGCAGTTGCACATGATACCACAGCAGTTAAAACCTTAGCAGTGGTCATTACTACTGCCACAGTTTTTGAATGCACTGTGAAGGTCCATAAATTTATTAGATGTGTTGCTCCGCATAGAACTATGAAAGCACCAAACTGAACAAGTACCCATCTGTATGGAAAGACAGCTGATTTCTTTACAAAATAGATCAGTTCTAGAGGGATAGAAAAATAAGCAAGGGCAATGAAGAAATCCGAAATATATTGGTATTTCATCAACAATTCATCCCCTGGTGGTGGCTCAATACAATTGCAGGATTCCATACCAAATCGATCACAGAAAGTTTTCCCCTTTTAGATAACTGCATTCGAATATGTAAAGATTTAGCATAGAATAGATGGAAATGAAGAAAAAAAATAATGTGTATACAAAGGAAAAAACTAATACTCCTCTGGTCCTCAATGTAGGACCTAATTAACTAATTTAAATAAATTAAGGATGTTAGTTAAATTAATTAATATGATATGTCTTTTCTAAAACACCCTAAACATCTTTCTTAATTTCCTCCATCCTTCTCCTACCTAATTATTATTGGGGGAATGTCAATAGGGTTAATTTGGGAGAAATAAATAAAAATGTGAAATAAGTCTTACATATAGAATTAATATCAACTCTCCAATTAAGTCCTATATTAAGTACCAGAAAAGTAACTGTATATTGATGTGACAAGTTCAATTCAGCATTCTATTTTCCACTTTCCCTTGATAGATTATAGCATTATCTTGCAGAACAGCAATGATAGAGAAAAGAAAGAGCCGTGGTGGAAAAAGTTAAACCAGAAACTCTATTGTAGGGAGGCACAATGCCAACCAACGTATTATTGATGGAAACAACATGCAATGCGAGCACTATTGGTCATACTTTGAAATATAAAAATACTGATACTGATACCAACTTGAATCTTCGGGATGATCTCACACTATGCCCTTATAATTCTTATTGCTTAGTGTAGATCTTAAAACCACCCTAATGGTTGAGCAAATTCGAAGGATGAATGAAATTTTTTCAACTTCAATACATCTACCTACGATCATGCCCCTATTCAAACTATTCTTCACACATATCTTGATTTACTGCAGCTTAAGAATCCCTATTATACCTTAAATAAGTCAACAGGGATGCGGGTCCCCTCCCCAAGAACTTCTTCAGCTTCTTCAGCTTCTTAATTTAAAATCAACACGCACAAAAAGTTTGTTTTTATGGCCCAAAACACGCCCTAAAAATTAGATGGGCATCCGTCTAAAACCAATTTCAGGCAAGGCACCATGTAGGAATACGAGGATAAAACATCCGGACCGACGACAGGTTTCGCCTATAAAACCAATTGGGAAGTATTTGGGAGAGGAAGCGCCCAGAAGGACAACATAAATTTAATATGACAATCTCAAACCTCCAGGAAAACAAATTGAAAAAATGAAAACTGACCAGAGTGGAGCGAGCTGTGAAGATCGCCGAATCGGAAAGGAATAAACAGAAACAAGCTGCTTGAACTGGACGTAGCTATGGCGGTCAAGTTCAATGAATTCCCTGCCTGGTAGAAGAAGGCCTCCCACTTGCGGCCGCAAACGATGGCGACAGATCTCTCGAAGTCTCAATTAGTCAAGCAAAGCGAAAATCCCAGCAGACACCAAACCCGGGAATTCAGTGCATTTGGCCTGCTTTTTGTTATTTGTCATTGTATTTGATATATTTGATTTGATTTGATGTTGAGTTCACATTGCCATGCGTTCTCCAAGTTGTCAATGAAGGCAATGACCAAATAATAACTTTGGCTATTGCCCTCTCTTTATTTTCATTTTTCCCTTTTTTTTAAAAATAGTATATGTTTTTTCACTAAAATATACATTTGATACTTTATTGTAATTATTTTACTGTAAATAATTTATTTTACACAACATTTCTTTATTTAATTAGTAGTAATTATTAATTATCAATAATTTTTTGACATCTTAATTATCAATAATATAAAATTATTTTTTACTTTTCTTGAATCTATATATAATGTAGGCACAAAATCGTGAACCATTGTTATATTAATATTCTAGAGTTTTTTTAATTTGTTTGTCTTTAAGAGAACATTTAAATTGAATATCCATCGAAAGGATGGTGATATTTTACTTACATATCATTTTTTGACTTTTTTTAACATTAAATGTATACCATAGATTACAATACAAACTTCATGCAAACAGTTACTTATTTGTGAGATAATCTTTCTTACCAACATACGCACATTCAGAAAAAGAAAATTTATTCCAAAAACATAATACTATAAAGTGGAAATTGTTTACAAATTTTCGGTACCCATGAGCCTTAATTTAATTAATATAATAATCCTTTTCCCCATTTATTTTTTTCCCCAGGAATAATCCTATCTATTTAGTTGTCGTGTCAAGGACTTATATTCTCTCCTCTAGTCTTCCCCTTCTCCTACTCACCTCTTTCCTTTCTCATTCTTTGATTTAATTTTCAACCATTGAGATTTCTATGTTATATAATAATTATTATAGTATTAAATATTAAATATAATTATTATAGTATTAAATATTAATGAAATAAATTTAAATTAGTAAAATTGGACATAAAAAGTTTAGAATGCACCAGAAAAAGTAGAAAACGTTCATTGAAAAAACATATTTTTTCAGTGCCATTATAAATCAAATTTCAACAATATAATTTTATTTAGTTATATAATATTGTAATAAATTTTAATAAAATGTTAAATCTCAAATATTGAACATTATATCTAAAGGTGGAGAACGTAAGAATAGTGTAAGAGGAAGGGAAGGTTGGAGGAGTGAATCCAAGCCCTTTTTAACAAAAAAAATTTAGAAATAAGTTGTTTTTAACATTTTTTTGCCACCAATTTGTTTTTATTGTTGACTTTTGTAAAATTGATTTTTTTTTAATCCAGTTATGCCATGAAGACCAAACTAGTAGAAAATAATGGCATCAGGCATATTATTAAAGCCGATTATATATATTTCATCGCACAATTATCCTAGATTTTTGAGTTAATTTGAATTTCTTGGACATTTGGTAATTTTTACATCAATGACCATGAGATTGAATCCCATGATTTTCTAGCCATTAATCTTATTCATGATTTAATTTGCGCTTGACTTTTCTCTTTGAGAAAAAAGTTTTGATTTAATTTGAGTGGAGAAAGTTTACGTTACTCTCTCTTCCACCCCAGATTTATTTTTATTTTCCTTTTCTTTATTCCCTCTTCACCACTTAGCATTGATTTCCATCATCCTTGGGCTTTATTTTGTGAGCTTAATCTTTTCTGATATGTCACGTGATATTCAGTTAGACGCAACACACACTAATGGATGCATGGCCAAATCTAATCCAAGAACCAACACCGAAAAACCTTTCAAGATACCTATCAGTTTGGTGGAGTTGATAGGCAAGCATCCAAGTTTCTTCCTTCAACCCATGGCTAATTCAAAAAAAAAAAAACACTTGCCCACCAACAGAGTTGATAATATGAATTGGATTTATGAATTCAAACAGTCAATTACTAGAGCTACTAAAGCTGATATTATGAGTTGGAGGTACAAAGTCAAACCGTCAATTACTATTAAAAAAAAAAACAGAGAGTAAGTTCTGTGTCGCAAAATGAGAATTCATTTTAAGACAAACCTTTTACCTATCCTGCTTAATTCATGGCATGTTCCCCCCTGTTTTTACAATTATTTTAATTTTAATTTTGATCCATAAAGAAGTTATTGTTTTGAACTTAAATATATAATCTTATTTTAAATTAGAAATTTGATTTCTCATTTTTTATTAATTTATCACTTTTTATAGTGATAGAATAATTATCTAAAATAGATTATATGTTTACATTTACAAGTTTTGAGGTTCATTTAATTATAGAATTTTATGAAATATAGAATCAATTTGAATTTAGTCTTTTATATACTTTAGTTTAAAAATTAAAAAGTAAAAACTATATTCGAAAACGTATATGAAAAAAGAGGCAGGTTATTGGTGGGTCTGTAATGTACTCTGTAATGTGCTCAAGTAAGCAAAATGTTAGCTCATTTTTTAATAGGCTTTTTCCGACCCAACCCATGAAATATCAGCCCGTATTCCCACCAAAAGCACAAGTAAGTCCCTTACGAATAGATTTTCCCTCTATTATCTATTGTAAGTGGAAGTCTCTGTTAGCTAGAGGGTCTTCACACTATTTTTTTTTAAAAAAAAAAACTTATTACTGATAAAACTAGCGATGAAAAATTATTTCATTGCTAATTTCAGCTTAGATTATCAACAGAAATTATGTTTCTAAATTCGGCAACAAAACTTTTCCATCAAAAAATTTGTCGGTAATTTTTTAGCGATAGAATTTTTTTGTCAAAAATTTTTATTGATAATCAATTGCTAATTATAATTATAAAATTTTTAGTAATGGAATTTTTTGTTGCTAATTCTATCGTTAATTTCACTGCTAAATTCTTTGCTATGGAAATTTTTGTCACTGAGTCTCTTATGTCTCTAACTTTAAATTTTATTATTTTAGATTATAATCCTCCAACAATTTATGCAATAACATAATTAAGAATGTAAAGATTTAATTATATTTTTAATTATAAAATAAATTGATATATTTGTAGAGTTGGTATTAATGAAGGTATCATCATCATTCATATCATCATTTAGATACATACAAAAATAGGAAGATAATTTCTTAGAAAATTTCTTTCATATTTCATTAAAATCAATTCCTCTTAATTATTAATAATAATTAAAAAAATATGATAAGAATATTAATAACTTTCTTATACAAATTAATATAATAATAAAATTTGATCATGATATAATTAATAACTTGTAGATTAATTGCGGTCTTCAACGCAAAAATAAATTGCATATATAAAGGTTCTTTTAGAAAAGAAATTATGCAGGATACACGCATAAATAAGAGAAGGATATTTGTCATAATCTATTAGATTTCATATAGAATAATTTATTAGATTTTATTATTATAATTATTTTTAAATAATTAATTTTTTACTAATTAATTATTTAAAGGCAAATTTTATCGGACTGCTATAAGACCAGCTATGACGTATGGTAGTGAATGTTGGCCAATAAAGGGAAAATAAGAGCACAAAGTCGGAGTAGCAAAAATGAGAATGTTGAGATGGATGTGTGGTCATACAAGAAAAGATAGGATTTGAAATGAAAAGATCAGGACAAGAGTCGGTGTGGCACCTATCCAAGAGACAATGGTTGAAAATCGCTTAAAATGGTTTGGACATGTGCAGAGAAGGTCTTTGGAGGCCCCGGTGAGGAGGGTGGATCAAACAAGATGGAGTCCCATAAAAAGAGACAGAGGAAGACCGAGAAGGATGCTTAATGAGGTCATTGAACGAGACCTCCTAGTCAACAACATATCTAAGGATTGGGTTGTTGACAGAGCACGATGGCGTCGTGTGATTCATGTAGCCGACCCTACCTAGTGGGATAAGGCTTGTTGTTGTTGTGTTGTTGTTGTAATTTTTACTAATTATAAATAATTGTCATCAAACATATAAAACAAAAATAGATAATATAATATAATGTAATATAATACATATATAATTAAATTATGCATCTAATTATTGTTAATTAAATATAAAAAATATATTTATGAAAAAATTAATTACAATTTAAAATTCAAAATTAGTTTCATTAGAAATTAACATTATATTAAAAATAATTTTTAAAAGAAATAAAATTTTATAAAATAAATAGTAGCACAAATATTTAAAAATGATTTTGTCGTAAAAATAGTTAAAATTAAAATTATCATATAATTTATTTTTAGTTTTTAATAATATATATTTGTATAATAATTGTTTGGGCAAAAGAATACTCTCTATAAATTTAATTTTGTGTAAAATATTAGTGGGTTCATTATTGCTCAACTAGTGAAGATGCGCACATGCACACACGAGTTTTCTAGTTAGAGCCATGGAGAAGTCGCTCTGAGAAGAAATTATGTGATGGTGATATATGAAGCATAAGCATTGAGAATGAGGGATAATGATTAGGATTGGCATTAAGAAAAATAATTAAAAAATATTTAGCATGAATAATTTTTTGTTATATGAGTTATTTATACATGCAAGGAGCGGGGGTGTTATACTTCCTTCAAGCACACTTGCTGATTGTAACACTTTATGTTTATACCAATTAACTTACCTTGCGGAAGCATTTGGAATCACTTTTGAAGGCTACAATTGATGAAAAATGAAGTTTGAAAATTTTCATTTACGGGTTACTATTCATTGTCACCTTAAAATGTGACAAACTTCGAAAATTCATAACTAATTGTAGAAAAATTGAAATTGAGTGATTCCAAGTTCTACAGAAAGCTCTTTGGATAAAATTTTGAGAAAAAATAGTTTCTGAACTGATTTCCTTGAAATTCGAGCTCAATTTCCTTTGAAAAAGATAGTGTTCATTTGGTCATTTTTGGATTTTACTGTATTTTTTCCTAACTTTGCAAAGGCATAACTTTCTGCTCAGTTATCGGAATTGGGCAAACTACCCCTCATTTTAAAGAGAAACATCAGATCTCTTTGCTTGCCAAATCTTATGACCTAACTCACTCGTTTGATAGGTCAAATTAGAGCTACAAACTCACTGCTCC